AGAAGTGTCTACACTCATTTGCCATCTAAATAATCTCTTTATTATTTCTAATAATTTCTTATGGTGCACATAGGCTATTGCAACTCAAGAATAATAGTTTGTACTCAACTATTTAGACAAATTTTACATTGAGATTGACAAGTACACATACCAATGCTTACTAACATGTTTTAGTAAGAATCTCCAGCCTACCACTCTTGTCTCTTTTCTTGAATTCCTTAACCTAGATAACTACCTATTTATAAAAGATGATTTTATAGGACCTGTGGAAAATAATTTGGTACTTTATTACTCATTTCGTGAATTCAAGATCTAATACGAGACAACTACTAGATTCAATAGCTAGAATATATGTACCTATTGATCTCTTGAGCATTTTTAACAATGCATACACACGCCTTCTCAAGGGCTTTACATCATAAATAAGGCCCCTTAATCTACCTGTTTAATGCATATATGATAATTCAAGTTTCTTATGCATTGAAAACATGTGTCAAACCATACTTTAATTGTTAAATCAATTTCAGTGTGCCTTAGCACTAACTTTACAAGTCAATTTTTTTATATAACTTAGTGTTTAACTAAGTGGTCACACATATACACAATTTTATCCACCTCACATGCCAAAACATTTAAAGCATTCTAAATCCAGGTTATTGTAGCTACAATTAAGTATTTTGTAATTTTATAATATATTTCAAAACAATATTTTCAACATAGCAAGTAATTAATATATATAGCACATGTCTTCTAATACATGCATTCATGTCTATAGGCTAAGGGAACACCCTATTCTATTTATCTTTTTCCTTACTTATTACTTGAAATACTTCATCTCTTTTAATTTTTGGAACGAGATTTGCATTTGGGCTTAAAACTTGACCATTTAGAGTTTGTTTGATGCATATGAGGTGCCAATGAACTCCTTTTTCAAAATAAAAGACACTGAGTTTTATTCAGGGTTTTAGAGTTTAGGGTTTAGAAACTAGTTTTTTTGTAGACATATTAATCTTAAAACACAAAAAATTGAGCAAAAATAGCGCAGGAATTTCGTATGTCAAAATATTCAATAATTCAACATTACTTACAAACATAAGCATAATTGAGTGTAACAGAGTCTGGTTCATGCTAGAAAAGATTCGTTGGAAATCTTATAATGTGGGCAATTCAACAAAACACTTACAAGTTAGTATCACGAATAGGAATGGTAAGAAAACACGAAAAATAGTCATTGAATTGATATGTTTATGTATTATTTTGTTAAAGGTAAGTGAAATGATCTCCAAATGATGTATGTGACGATGCGTTGAAAAAGTTTTTATGTGGGGATTATGAAAATAAGGTTACATGTCATATTGAACCACTATAAAGAAAAGAAAATGTGATTTTGTTCATTGTTATTGCAGAAAATGGACATTTCTCTTTATTATTTCTTTGTGAGATTTCTTTACCCTTTGCTTCTTTCTTTTCTTTCATTTAGAAACTATGAGCCAATCACCATGCGTTGACTAGAGTCCAAAAAATGACTCATTAGTGTACTCACTATTGGATGTCATAGAATTCACCCTAATCTAACAACCTCTGTAACGCTCCAATTTTGTAATGTTAAATTATATATATATATATATATATATATATATATATATTCATATATATATGACCTTATTATGATATGAGTTTATGGCTAGAATTAGACTGAAGGAAAATAGGCTAAGTTCTGGTGCAGGGCATTCTCGCTATAGCGAGAGGACCCTGGGTAAAAGACATGCATCTGTCGCCTTCTCGCTGTAGCGAGAGTATCTTGTTGTAATGATAGAGCGACAGTTTGAAGCGCATTTCTAGGTGCATTCTCGCTGTAGCGAGAGGGTCTCGCTATAGCGAGATTCTGCAGAAACCAAAGTACAGTTTTCTCTGAGTTTTTCACTGTAGCAAGAAGACATGTCGCTGCAGCTCGTGACCAGAAGTTTTCTCAAAATCCTTTCGATTCTTCCAACCCAAAACCCTTTTTCACTGATTAAATTGCCTCCAAAGTCGTTTGAAAGCTAGATTGAAGGTTGAATCTATGTGGGGAACGCTTAGAGGTGAGTTTTAAACGGTTAGGGTTTCATTTTTCCTCTATTTTCTCTGTTTTTGGTGATTTCTGGGATTTTCATAGAGTTTCTCAATGTGTTTAGGCTGAGATCTATGTGGGAAGCATGTTCGAGGTTGAGTTCGAGTGTGGGTCTTCAATCCAAGGTAAGGGGGACTCTACCCTATCTCAATGTGTTGTAATTCTTGTGTATTTTGTTGATTAATACAATGTGGCTGAGATAGGGAGTAGAAATTGTGTGTTTGATGGAAATTGGTGTACAATGTGATGTGTGCTGGAATAGTTAGGCCCCGTGGGGTGATTGTGTGTGATGGAATGCCATTGATTGGTGAATTAACGATATTGTGGATAAATGAAGGCTATGTGCGGTATATTGTGGATAAAATGTGGGCTATATGCCATGTAATGTGAATTGAATATAGGCTGTGTGTTGTGTGCAAGCATGAATATTGCGTGTATGAATGAAATGTATGTGAATGGGGCGTGTAGCGTCGTTAAAATGTGCTATAAATGGTTCAGCGATACACTAGGGGTGTGAAAGATGAGGATGGTAGAAATACCTTGGGGAGGAGAGAGTGGTGGTGACACCGACTTTGGAACGGGTGCACCATGGGCCACACACTCTCTTCCTGACTAGACCTCTGACCACTAGCTTTACTGAGCGACCTGTGACTGCCCACGTGGTATCCGTGAGGCGGAGGTAACTGGCAACCATCCATAGTGAAAATCTGTAATCACAGTGCCACGGTAAGCGTGGCGGCGCCCCTTGAGCGCGCGAGTGTGCATGATTGATTGATGCTATGAGTGCATCGGTGTCAAGTTAAATTGAAATCTATGACATGCTATTTATGTTTATTTTGAGTAAAATAGAGGCAAGGTGAGACTCTATGCTTGTTATGTTTTGAGTAGTGCAGAGTACTCACCTTTACATTCATTTTTCAGGTAATCAAGACAATCAGCACCGGATTCAGTGAAGGGATGGATGAACTGCTATAGGACTTAAATTTTTATTTTTTAAAAATGTTATATTGAATTAGTCTTGTAGCAGTTATTTGATATTAACTTGTAACCCTTCCCTCATTTCAAAATATTTAATGAAACTCTGTTATTCGAATTTGTGAAACCATTATTTAATTAAAATTAAATTTAAGGTGTTACAACCTATATGACCACAAAGGTAACTATCAAAATACCATCCATTAAAGTAATTGATTGTACTATTCACAACACTAATAAGAGACTATTTGATAACTCATTTTAGAACAATTGTGAGTAATATGACTATAATATTTACAAGTAGAACAAATTATATGCATTTCTTCATATTGCACATGGTAATATGACCATTCAATTCAACTACTATTGGCTTAATTTGATCAATCTCAACCTCTTGCTACAATTAGTAATGTTGATATCAACACAAACATTCTTGATTGGCTAAAGCTAGTAAAAGTAGAACACTTTTATCATAAAATACCAAATTTAGGCTTGAAAAAAAAAACTCAAACTACAATTTTCTCAACTTTATTAGTTAGAAAAACAATTTTTCATGATCTCATTTAGACTACCAAATAGTGATTAAATAATATCATCCATAGACCATTCTTTACAATTGTGATACAATTGAATTCTAAACTAAATTTGATTATATTGAAGTTGTGACCCACATCTATAATTTCAAAAGTTGCATGCAACTTTGATATTTTCTTTTTTATTGTCATATTCCTATTGTTCTTCCTTAAAGCTTTATCAAAAGATATTCTACCATGAAAGATAAAGTTTCTAAAGGACTTCATCTTTTGAAGTGTAACTTTCAAACAATTTTCATCCACTAATTACAAACATGTCATTACTCAAGATCCACCCAAGCTCTTTGTATGGTGTAGGTAGCTTTTCCTTTATAAATATATCTCTAAACAATTTTTTTTTTCACCACCACCTCAATTCTAACTTAAAGCTTAGTAGAAGAAAATGAAATCTACCTCTATCCTTATTTTTCTTATCTCATTAATTCATGTAACTTTTCTTATATTCAACATTTTATTTTTATTTTTAGTCATAATTTATATTTTTAAATACTACTTTTAAAAATTGATTTAATTTAAACTTTATATCTTGATACATTATTTTAAAATAAATATATATTTTTTTAATAATTTAAATTTTAAGATTATTATGATCTTAATTTTTAATATATCATATAAATATCGATGATATGTGTTAGTTTTTAATATAAATATGGCTTGATTCTACTAACTTATTTTATAATTTTATTGTTAATTTAAAATATTTATTTTTTAATTTATTACTACACAAAAAATAAAATATTCAAAATTTATTAAAAAATTATTTACTACCCTCCTAACATTATTTTTATTTTTAAATTTTATTTAAATTTAAAACATCTATACATGTCATTGACACCCTACTAATTTTACTTTTAAGGAAAAAAGAAACACATATTTGAAAAGTAGTAAAAAAAAATTCTTCACCATCAGAACTTATTCAATTTAGACCATTAAATAGAGATAAGTTCGTATATGTAAAACTCTAATTTACTTTAATTAATTGCAGCATCAATCCGTACTTTAAAGTTAAAAAAAAAAGTTTGTATGGCTTATTTTTTATTCTCCTAAATAATTTTATGATATTTTATTTTCAAATATAAATGAAACAGAAACAGTAAAAGAAATAATATTTTATAATATTTTAATTAATTAATTAATTTTTATATCTTGTGTCTATTCTATATCATTTTATTCTAGATGATTTTTGTGAACAGTGTTACAAACTTTATTTAATAAAAAAATTGAAGTTGGGCCTGAATCTTGTGGACTGGCGACGGGGCGGGTCTATTGAAGATAGTGTGCAGTGACTAGGTTTGGTGGGTCGAATATATAAGGCATTGTAACATTAGGGTTTTAACACAGAGGAAGAGAGAGACAGAGTGTGTCGCTTCTTCTCTACAACTCTGCCAATATGGGTGCGTAAATGCTTCATCTTTCGTTGTTCTTCCATCTTCCGCAAACCCTAACACCACCAATTGAGCTTGTAAAGTTTTTGATGGATTTTCTTCTTCTTCTCCTTCTTAATCAGGTATTTCCAGGGATTCTATGCACAAGAGGCGTGCCACTGGTGGCAAGAAGAAGGCTTGGAGGAAGAAGAGAAAGTGTGTTCTTTAATTCTTTTTTTTCTTCATTTTATTTTTAATTTTGATTTGATGTGTGTGTCGTTTGAGTTGCTTTATGTTTTTAGTGAAAGTGGAAGAGATGTGTGTTTTGGGATTTTCTGTCATTTTGATTGTTACGCTGTTTGGAGTCTTTGCTTGGTTGTGGAATTGATGGTTTAAACGAAAATGTGAATGGTATCTCTTCTTTTTTTTTTGGTATGGAATTTGCGTGTCTGATTTGGGAATTTGAAATGCGAATTTGTATTTGCTAAAGCAATTAGTGGATCTAGGTTTAGTTATTCTTTGTCTCTGTGATTTTGGTAGGGCATGGGAAAAATAAAAAATGTTAGTGCATTTGAATTTCGTTATAAGTTTGATGCAAAATGGGTATCCTTTATGAATCCCTTTGTATTGTGTTACTTTTTTTTTTTTTTTTTGGATGGTCTACGGATGGGCAGAACTTCTGTTTCACACTACCTTCTCTTTTTGATGCTAAGGAGTTGTCTGTTATTGTGTTTCATTTTTGTTAAATAAAACATGATATGTAACAATTAGACGCATATAATATCCTACATAGAACAAAGGTGACTTAGGGTCAATGATGATAAAACTTTCCCAATTTTTTTTGAAGTTGAATACAGTTTAATGATTATTTGGTCCTTACTAACAGCTATCATATTAAATTCTCCCTAGGTTTGTTTAAGTATTTCTCAAACAGAAAATTTGCTTTTACTTCATTTATATCTATTTTGATAATGGATTATATTTTATATTTGATAATTCATACCGCTCGTTTATTAGTATATAATAGTATAATTTAATTTGTTTGCATTCGGTTTTAGCTTTGATGATGTTCTGTTCTAATAATTCCTACTTACCCTAAGATATCTTATTGGTTTTATATTATAAAGGTATGAGCTTGGTCGCCAGCCTGCTAACACTAAGTTATCAAGCAACAAGACAGTCCGCAGGATTCGTGTTAGAGGTGGCAATGTGAAGTGGAGGGCACTGAGATTGGATACTGGAAATTACTCATGGGGAAGTGAAGCCGTAACTCGCAAGACTCGTATACTTGATGTGGTTTACAATGCCTCAAACAACGAGCTTGTGCGAACTCAGACCCTTGTCAAAAGTGCTATTGTCCAGGTTGATGCTGCTCCATTCAAACAGTGGTACCTTCAGCACTATGGTGTTGACATTGGTAGGAAAAAGAAAACTGCTGCCAAGAAGGAATCTGCCGAGGTGGGTTTTTCTTTACATTTCTTTTGTAATGTTATTTTTATGCACTGTTTATGTTCTCATAATATAATATAACCATAGTTCAGCTCAATGCTATTTGTACTTTCATTTCTGATTCCTTGTATTTATGACTTTTACTATTTTCATTTGCCTGTCTTGGTTATTTAAATAATTCTGAGCAAGAGATATGTCAAAACTGAAAGCAATGTTTGTAATGCATATTAGTTTTTGTTTCATTGGATACAGTTTGTGAACTATATGTTCAGAATGAATTTTTGTTATTGTATATTGTCTCAGCCATTTGTGTTTTCTTAGAATCTGTGGATTTGACTTATCTGAACCCCGAGGAATTTGCTTTTTATATCTATTGTCTTGATAAAAGACATTTGTGGCTGTGTTCCACAAAACTGTAATTTGTACCTAAAATGTCCTTAAACGGATGCTGCTTGGCTATTTTGTTTTGTGAATTATTCTTTTCTTTGTATCTGATAAATAGATATATATCATGATTGGGGTAGTGTAATTTGTTCAATTTGTGGAAGAAGTGGACTTATTCTCCTGTATAGAAGCTTATGACTATTTCATCACCCTGTGATGTAACTTGCAGGACGGTGAAGCTTCTGCTACTGCTGCTGCTGCTGCAGAAGAAGCCAAAAAGAGTAATCGTGTGCAGAGAAAACTGGAGAAGCGCCAGAAAGATCGTAAGCTTGATTCCCATATTGAGGAGCAGTTTGGTGGTGGGCGATTGCTGGCTTGCATTTCTTCTCGCCCTGGTCAATGTGGCAGAGCTGATGGGTAATTGCTTAAGTTGTAATTATTTTGAATCTGTTTATCCTGAGCTGTTCTTTACTGTCTTTGTTTTCCTTAATTGTGCAGCTACATTCTCGAAGGTAAGGAGTTGGAATTTTACATGAAGAAAATCCAGAGGAAGAAGGGGAAGGGCGCAGCTTGATTGTAGTTTTTCCCAAATTTTTATATGGCTTTAGTTGTTTTTATTGGTTTGTTGTACCATTCAAGGTGATGTTTGATCTTGCTAGTCGACAAACCTTAGGATGATGCCACAAGACATCGTGTAATGGGAAAGTTCTTGTTAGTCATTTGCAAATTGACATTTTGATTTTTGTTTCGAACCGATTTTGCTACTGATGGTTTACAATTTTAATCAATGAGTTATGTCTTGAATCGTTCAATTTGTATAATAACTCTGGGAGGGGTTGGGGGGTTTCATTAGTGGATAGATATGTAAGAGGTAAAGGGCGGTGCCACTCATTCGTATCCTTATTGGGGAAAAAACATTTCCTGGCTTTCACATTATTTAGCGCACTAATTCTGTTAAGAATTTTTAAATAATTTGGTTACTGTGGGACTTGGTTCTTCTTATGGAGGGAAGAGAAAGTAAGAAGGTGGTGAGCATTGCTTCATTAGGGCCCAAAATTTTAAAACTGAAGCAAATGCACACTAATATTATTTACTGGGTTTTGACTGTAACGCTAGCGGGCTAGGCGGGTCATAGGCTGAGCGGGTTTTAAAGGAAAGGATTTGTCCTCGTGATTTCTTAACATTTTTTCCTCAGATCTTGAAGCTTTCCATTTTTTAAGAACAGTGTACTAAAACATCGGAGTGTTGTCAAACGTATTATAGCAGTGTCGATGTTGTAGTATTGTAGGAATTCTCAACACCATTGGAGTTGCAGAAACTAAAACAGCAACAAAGCAAACTTATAGCAATGCAAAGATGAGACTACACAGGAGAGTTCGGGAAATGGAGTAGAGAACTAAGAACTTTCATAAATCAGGTGTTCACCAACGCAAATTCTACATGTGCGCGGATGTTTTGGGTTTGTCATGGATAATTTAATATAAATAATATTTGGTCGGTTTGGTTATTGCCATTCAAATTTACGGGACCGAGCCCGACTACATTAACCGATAAAAACTAAATTTCTAACCAATATAAATCGATTTTTCGACCTGACTTGGATTTGAGCGGGTGAAAGGTTTTTGACAACCTAAGAAGACAGGTTTATTGGCTGCTACTTACACATCACTTTATTTAGACAAAATATTTTTTGGTAATAAAAATAATTCTTAAATATTATTATTTATAATTCATTTAGAATTAATTTATATAAGATACATTTCGTTGGATGAAATAACCTTTTCTTTCCTTTTTCCTTTATAGGTATTAAGTTAATTTTAAGTTTTAATCCCTTCAATTATGCCAAATGCAACCGTTTCGTTGTAATACGATTAATAGAGTTAGCAAATGAGAATAAAACTCATGGCTGATCCTTAAAATTTTACAATTGGCCCCATTTTTTATTATCCCATTTTATAATAGGGCTGTTTAGCCCTAACCCATATAACCTATAAATAATTTTCTCTGGATGCAACCTGAAAAATTATGCGATTTTGCAGCCCCAAAAGAGAAGAAGACTTTCGTAAGCTGAACCGTAATTTCAACAATTTCTTCATATTTTAGGTACGTTTCTGTTTTGTAATCATAATTTCTTTATTCAACTCCGCTAGCTAATAGTTATTTCTCATTCACATTTTGATGTCATTCCTCACTTTTTGTTTTTGTTGCGCAGTTGTCGTGGATTGACTGCGGGAAAATATTTGGACATGATACTGTTCAAGATCACACACAGTGTATTACAGAAGGGTATGTCTCTCATTCTCGCTTTTCATTGTTATTTCTGAATGATGCATGCTTTATCACTTTCTTCTGTTTATACACGACGACGTTTATTTTGTGAAGATGGGTAGCTCTTTATTTCTACTAATGTGCAAAACAAGTTTTCTGATATGATTTCTTACTTTTTATAATTACATTGTATTCGTTGGTTTACTTTTATTTTTGTTAGCATTCCAATTTTAATGTAAGTTTTTAAAATATATATTAGCAATCTCATTTTTCCTGCTTCCTATGCTTACTTTGTTTACTGGGAAAAGTATGGTCCTAAGGGCCAAAGAAAAACTTTGAACTTTGCAACTGTCAAGCCTAACTAGGATAACAAGCAAAGAGCTGAAGTTGGTATTAATGTGGGATTATCTGAGCGTCCTCCATGGTTCTGCAGGTATATACTCTGTTGGACAATCTTTCTAGTACCATGGTAGTGGTCAGGAGTCATTCGTAGACAGTGTATTTTTGTTAGAGAGTAAATGAAAATTGAGATGCTATATTATTTTTATGTGTTTTAAAGATTATAAGAGAAAAACATTTATCATGGCCTGCATATTTTGTTCTGATGGGATCAAGAAAGACTTCTAAGTTCTTACTCCTTGCATTTTAGTCGCAATATTATTTCCTATCGGTTCATAGGATCATCAAGGTTGAAGTTCAAACCTTTTATCTCCATGTAATGTAAATAGTAGATATAAAACTTAGGTGAGCCTATTGTAGAAAGTTCCAGTGCACTAGTTGAATGTGAATGGCAAGGAATAGATGATATTCAAGTACATTGCTTTCTAATAGTTTATGGATTTTCACCTTAAACCTTACGGTTAAACCATCGGCATGAAAACCTTTTTTCGTCGTTATTGGATAAAAACTAAAATAAATGTGATGTAGAGTTAATAGAAGGAAATTAAATAGCCAGAGATTACTTTTCGAACTGTGTTATTTTCATTCTTATCTCATATGTATGTTCATGAAAGCAATTTTGTCAAAAATGATTGAGGTATCTACTGGTATCTTTATTATTTAAAACTCAGTTTTGTTCTAACCCGAGATCTAGGTTGCATACCTCAGTTTAGCCTTGAAGGTGATGTCCTCAATTGTCATTGTAAAAAAAATAATGCTAGGATTATATATCAATGAAGACAATACAAAACTCACTTGTTTGGGATTAAACTTGTGTACATATTGAGTGATATACCTTTTTTTATAGCATTCCAGTTAAAGCAAAAGTCACTTGTTTAATTGCATCAGAATAAAGATAGATTTATTGGCATTATCAGTAAACGTATTGATTTATAATTAATTTTTTAATAAGATTAAATTGTGGTCGAACCAATAATAATTAAATATCTACATTTCAATACAATTATATATTATATTATATAAAATTATAATAAACTAAAATAAAATTTAAATTAATAAAAAGAACGATATTTTATGTCTTAAAAATTGAATTAACAACAAAATTAAAATGATAAACATATATAAAATGAACATTCATGGTTAAATGCATAAATACTAACATAAATATAATTAAAAAATTTAAAAATTATATTAAAATATCACATAAACAATGGTGTATTGACATGTATTGCATCCGTTGAGTTTTTACAATAAATACATTTTTTGTTTATAGTTTGTTACTTTATAATATATATCTATGGGAGGGATAAAACTACATAAGTATAAGTTGCACTCAACTTAATCATTTGAAATTTTTTTATTAAATAATTTAATCATAAAATCAATACTTAGATTAAAAGCTCTACTCACATAAGTAAATGATTCAAAATTATTTAATATTTTATTCATATACATTAAAATTAATATAATATAATTTTTAAACATATAAAAATAATAACCCTTGATAAAATTCTTATAATTGTTTAATTTTGACGCACATAATTTTAAATAATATATACTTATAATTAAATGATTGAATTGATGAAAATTACTTTTTTATATTAAGTTAGTGACCCTTATTTAAATTGTGATCTTTTCTAAATTGTGTTTAGGTTACAATTTGAAAAAAAGATTAAAAGTAGAATGAAAAATTATGAAAAACTAAGCCTATAAGGTAAATTTTAAATTAAGATAAAAGCATAAATTTTCTAAAATTGAGACAACCAAATTTGTATAGGAAGGCCAACTTAATACTCATTCAATGAAAATGATGCGTACATAAATTAGTTAGGAATAGAATACAAAGGATAAAAGTAAAAGACAAATAAAAAGGTCAAAAAATAAGACCAAATTTTTTTTTGGAATTTTGTTAAATGCTAGTTCTTAAATTAGAGGTAAAGTACATTTAGAATATGCTCCAAATAGCTTAAGAAAAATCTAAAATCAAGAACCCATAAAAATTGAGCCAAATGGATGATATTTAAAAGGCCACTTGTAGCAATTTTCTAATTTTTTTCGAAGTCAAAACATGGTAGCTTCAAATCGAATAAGCTAAGGGATAGGATAAGCTTAAACATAAAAATATAGAGCGCCAAATCAGCTAGGATCAAGGACCAATAATAAAGAGTTTGAGACGAGGTAAAATTCTAAGACATTAAATTAAGGGACAAATCATCATGCCACTTAAGCTACTTGAATTTAATGCAAGATGATGCCAATTTTAATAAGTAAATGAACCCTTTACATGTGGCATAAGGATGAGAAATATTGTAAAGAGCTAAGGATAAGAAAACATAAGAATATACTTTGCCAAATGATACAAATCAGGTGTAATTATGAAGAGACTAGATTTTTCTTAAAAAAATTAGCTATGACCATGCTTGGCTCCATTATAAACACATTCCCCATGATCCATCAAAGACCATCACAAGTTTCTTTCACAACCTAGCTCAACAAAAGATAAGAAAAAGTCCAAAGAACTCCTAAATAAACACTAAATTTTCACTTTTCTAAGTCATTTTTGTAACACCTTCTTCTCATTTTTCTGTGAATTATGTTTATGTAATATTGAGTTGCATTAGAGTGCATTCAGATGTAAGTTTGAACGATTTTTAGATGAACTTTAGTGTAGTAGATCTCGCTCAGGCAAGGTAAATCTCGCCCAGGCGAGATTGAGCATGTAAAAAAATCTTGTTGCAGAGCTATCTCGCTCAGGCGAGCTGAGAATCTTGCCCAGGCGAGATGGGTCGCTTAGGCGAGGACCCACAAGAAGAATATCATGCTCTCTAGAAGCTTGCTCAAGCAAACATATCAGAAAACAAGGGGCGAGACAACTGTTTGCATATCTTGCTCAGGCGAGATGCTCGTTGCTCAAGCGAGAAGGCGCGGGGTTGAGGGGGTATTTAAGAGATTTCTCGCACGAGAAATTCATTTTATTACAAACTCACGTCCTTCCCTTAAGTTTTATCTAAATTCTCTCTTCTTTTCACTCAGATAAAAGCCTTAAAAATTTTAATTTCTCTTGATAGAAAACCTTGGACGTTGAAGCTAAGTGATTCTAAGTAAGTTTCTTCAGATTAAACTTGAGTTTTTTTTTT